AAATCACAAACTAAAACTGCATTCCAGTTAGCAACGCAAAAAGGAAATAGAAATGAAATAAATATTGAACAATTTGCACAGACCGAAAATCAATGTACTGCAGCATTTCCAACAGAAATAGATGAGGCAGAATCTATAAGATATATTGAAACGCTCGTCGATGATGATTTTCAATTACATAAATGTAACGTAGAATTTGACGATAAAGTTTCATCAGTGACTGAAGAGTTTGTACTTGATACTACTAAACAATGGGTTCTGAAGTATAGACATTTATTAAGCCAACGGGCCATTAACGATTTGTTGCAAATTTTACGAGTGCCATATCCAAAGTTTCCTGCAGACTCGCGTATTCTTTTAAAAACACCAAATTCGTGCCCCTATGAAATAATTAATATGCCCCCCGGTTTCTATTGTCACATCGGTATAGAGAATACAATTCGTAGACTCATCAATGACAGTATTAATATGCAAAATTTCTTATTACAAAATTCAGAACCAGTATTACCCATTAGTATAAACATAGACGGATTACCGATTTCAAACAGTTCAAAAAGTCAATTTTGGCCAATTTTGATTTCTCTAGATGTAGATTCAATTAGTCAAAATGCGTCAAAACCTTTTGTAGCTGGAATTTACCACTCAAAACCAGCTGATGTTAATCAATTTTTAAGTAAATTTGTTACAGAATTTAAACATTTGCAAGATAATGGATTTACATGGATGGTTTAACACATGTAATAAAACTGTTAAAATAAAGGTCAGTAAATTACTTTTGCGATTTTCCAGCTAAATCATTCGTTTTATGTACGAAAGGTCACACTGGATTTTACAGTTGCACTAAATGTACTCAAAGTGGTACCTTTATTAATAACCGACTAGCTTTTAAGATACCAATGTAGACTTACGAACTGCTGCAAGTTTTAAAAATAAATTAGATGATGAATTTCATAAAGGTACAACTCCTCTTAAAAATATTAACATTGGAGTTAGTTTCACAAGTACCCCTTGATGGTATGCAATCTGAAATTTCTCGGTGTAATGAAAAAACTGATAATGTTTTGGGTACGAGGACCAAAAATCATTCGATTTATTGATGATGAGAAAAAGCCATTAACGATCAAAGATTATTTTTAAAGAATTATGTACCTAAAGACTTTGGCCGCTTACCAAGAAGCTTAGATGACATAGAGTACTTTAAAGCTGCTGAACTAAGACAATTTTTGTTGTACATTGGACCGATCGTTTTACAAAAAGTATGAGAAACAAGAACATGTATACACAATTTATGACATTATCATGCGCTATTCGCATTTTATGTAGTCCTGCATTATATTCAGTTTATAATGATTATGCTTTGCAACTTATTCAGTATTTTGTTCAAAAATATTCAATTCTTTATGGTCCTGAGTTTATCAATCATAACGTACACGGCCTCATTCATTTACCTGCAGACTGCTTGTTGCACGGTCCACTAGATACATTTAGTTGTTTCAAATATGAAAATTTTCTGTACGAAATAAAACGAAAAATTAAAACAACAAAACACCCCTTAAAGCAAATTTGTAACAGACTATAGGAAGAAGAGCAGAAAAAGAAACAAGATGACAAGACTTATCCGATTTTACATCAACAAAGTAAAGTGCAAATTATTGATAAGGAAAGATGTATATTCTACAAAAAAGTGGATTTTGGAAAATATGAATTCAGCACGAAAATAAAGAAAATTGCGTCATGCTTAGGGACAAATCTGTACTATGCGTAGACGGTATTTTCCAAAACACTAACACACTGGAAGATGTTCGGAAAACGGGAAGAAAATTTACAGAATCAGCAACGTTTTTTAAGTTACCCTGTTCTTCTGAACTATTTAATGTAAAACAAGTACAAAATATTTCTGAAGATACGTATACTGTTAATATTACCGAAATTCACATTAAAATGTGAAAAATTTCTACTCTAAAATAGTTTATAATGTATGCCATTAATTCATAAACAATAATAATAACAAATATTTAAAAGAAATATTTAATAATAGTAATTATAATAATAATATTTAATAATTGCTTCTAAAAATTACAACAAAAGGATCGCCGTGCCGACGAGTAATATCAATTAATAAAAAATACAAGCTAATAAGCGCTATATTTCACGAAGGTGAAAAATGAATCGTGGTCACTACACGTGTATGTTGAGAGCTGACACAAAATCGAATGGTATTACTAATGATATGGAAGTGTTCAAGAAAAAGGCCCAAAGGAGCACAAGGGGCATAAATATTGTTCTGAACAGATTAAATAATGGCGCTGTATAAATGAAACGCTACATTAAAACATCAACTTTCTAGCGCTGTATAAAATTTGCCGTAAGCGCCAAAATAAACGGCTGCTCTGGCGCTTTATAAAAGCTGCTGTTCGCTGCATTAAAATGAGTAATAAGTTTCTAAACCTAGGAAATGACATTTCAAAAAGCCATCAAGAAAAAAATCCGCAGAGCAATCGTGAAACGAACAGCCCCATTATGTTCGTTGGGAAATGGGAATATAAGGGCCATTCTTTTTGCAATATTCATAATATTTCATTGTTATTAAATATTACAATTTTTATTTCAAAGATTAATAACATATATTTAATATAATTAATAAAATTATATGTATACATAATATATATATATATATATATATATATATATATATTTCAATTATTTTGAACTGTATTGCATAAATTGTTACTTATACAAAGTTGTATATACATATTATATATATTTGAATTACTAGAAAGCTGCTCTATATATCTGTACTTTAAAAAGTAAGTGATATCCTAAAAAAATCATAAAAATGAAAAGGTCAGGCCATGTTCAAAAGAAAGTACTCAAAAATTTAAACGATCTAATAATAAATTATCACGAAAAGTAACTGATATGTTATTCAAGGTGCCAGTTCAAAGTGAACATACGTAAAGTGTATATTATCTAAATTTAGTAATAATATATTACCATGAAAAGTAACTGTGATATTTTATTCAAGGTGCAAGTTCACATTGAATATACATACATATAAGTAAAACTGATTACAATTTGATTCTAGAAAATAAGTGCGATATGTTATTCTTAGTGCACAAAATATAATAGTCGTTTATAGAGATTTGATTTGAAATTCATACTAGCCCGTACAATGAAAAATAATTGCTCGTAATTCCAGAGTACCAATTTGTTAATGACTCAGAAAAATAACATGGCGGCCTGCTCTCAAAAAACTTTCGATGGGTAGAATAAATAATTGAAATAAGAGTTGTGAAAATTGTATAAATTAAAAACCTCCAATCTTTCTTTAGTAAAATTTCGAATTTTTGTATCAATTTCCGATTTGTGTTATATCGTATTTTCAGGAAGTAAGTTATTGATCAGAAAACTTTGCCTTGTTGCTCGAAACGGGTGTATATTAAGTAAAATTTATAAATGTACAGTTCTCAGGTCAACTACAATAAAGCTATACGCTTAAAAAGTTTACTGATTATTTGTCGTAATATACAATAAAAAATTACATATTAATTATTCAAGATACAAGTGAGAAATAAATATCATTAAAATATACAAAAAAAATTTATCAATTTGACTCTGAAAAGTAAGTGACATGGTTCTCAAAGTGCAAGGTTTCATTTGACTTACAATTTTCTTCAGAAACACAGAAGAAAAAGGTATTTGTATATAGTTTTGTATATTCACTTCGTTGTGTGTGTAGAGCTTTTAAAAATACGTTGAATCCTTATTCTAATCTAATCTTCTTCTAATGTAATACTTTTCGTATTTCAAATGTTGTAGTAATTATTCTGTAAGAGCTTTGACATTATTTCTAAATGGACATCGAGAAACATCATAGTTTTTTGAAAGCAGGCCGCCATGTTATTTTTCTGAGTCATTAACAAATTGGTACTCTGGAATTACGAGCAATTATTTTTCATTGTACGGGCTAGTATGAATTTCAAATCAAATCTCTATAAACGACTATTATATTTTGTGCACTAAGAATAACATATCGCACTTATTTTCTAGAATCAAATTGTAATCAGTTTTACTTATATGTATGTATATTCAATGTGAACTTGCACCTTGAATAAAATATCACAGTTACTTTTCATGGTAATATATTATTACTAAATTTAGATAATATACACTTTACGTATGTTCACTTTGAACTGGCACCTTGAATAACATATCAGTTACTTTTCGTGATAATTTATTATTAGATTGTTTAAATTTTTGAGTACCTTCTTTTGAACATGGCCTGACCTTTTCATTTTTATGATTTTTTAGGATTAATTTTATAGACAAGTATATTCTCAGATGTTTTTTTGAGTCAAAAAAGTTTCTAAAGGATAACGATGATATTATTGTTAGTAAGGCTGACGAAGGACAAACGACGGTGATCCTTAATAAAATTGACTATATGGAAAAAATGGAAATTTTATTAAATGACAAATCGACTTACAGAAAAATCAATAAAAATCCTGTTAAAAAATTAACTAATAAAATGCATTCTCTCATCAAGTCTTGACTCGATAATGAATTGATAGACATGACCACGTATAATTATTTAAACGTAACCAACGGGAACTTACCATGATGTTACGGGTTACCGAAAATCCACAAAATCGATTGTCCATTGCGAATTATAGTGTCTTCATTATGTAGTCCGTTGTATAATCTTTCTAACTACATCCATAATATACTCGTTAATTCGATTAAGAAACCGGGATCTTTTGTTAAGGATAGTTGGTCCTTCGTCGAGAGTATTAGGAATAAGGTGATTACTGATGACGAATTACTAGTGTCATTAGACGTTACCTCCCTGTTTACGAATATTCCGAAAGAGTTAGTAATTAGCGGCGTAAAAAAGCGTTGGATGGACATTTCAACCAATACGAAATTCAATCTTTCCCAATTTTTATATGTGATTGAGTTCATATTAGACTCTATACTAGTTTTGTTTTTAATAGACAGTATTATGAACAGATTTTTGGCAGTCCTATGGGGTCTCCGCTCTCACCCATATTAGCGGATATCGTAATGGATGATTTAGAGACTAACTGCCTAGAAAGATTGAGTTTCAAAACCTCGTGGTTCTGCAGATATGTGGATGATATTTTCACAATTATCCCATGCGAGGGTGTTGATGAAATTTTGTCGGTTTTTAATGATTACCATCCTAGATTAAAATTTACTCATGAAATTGAAAGTAACGACTCGATTAATTTTTTGAACACTACTGTGATGAGAAAGAATGGTATTCTATTAACTAATTGGTTTATGAAACCCACTTGTTCGGGTAGATATATCAGACTATTATTCAAACCATCCCTTTAAATACAAAAAGAATACCATTTTTAGTCTGGTCGATCATGCGATTTTATTATCGGACGACAGTTTTCATCCAGCAAACATCGCTAAGGTTAACGGTACTCGATACTGATAAACAATGGTTTTCCGTCGAATGTGGTTAATAAATTTGTAAAAAATAGGCTAAAATTACTTGAGACACGAAAAAACGACGATCGCAATGTTGACAATGATAATTTAGTTAGTGAAAAATTTGACCGCATCATAAAATTACCGTACGTCAAAGAACTAAGTGAAGACGTTTCGAGATTATTGCAATCTACGGGCATGCAAAGCGTTTATTGTATACCGAAAAAATTGAATACACTAATTAAACGTGTCAAAGATCCTTTGCCTTTAAAAGAAAAAACAGGAGTTGTATACAAAATTAACTGCGCAAATTGTTCCTCATCATACGTCGGTCAGACTAAACGACAATTAGGCACACGCATAAAAGAACATTTTAATAATATTAAGGTACACAATAGTAATTATTCAGTCATTAGTAATCATAAATTCGATAATGGTCATGATTTTGATTGGTCCGCTCTTGAAATTTTACATCATGAGAAATATGTACGAAAAAGAGAAATCGCGGAGATGTTTTTTATCAAAAAATTTGACAACACAATCAATTTACAAAAAGACACGGATAATCTAAATATTGTTTACGATAAACTAATAAAGGTCGTTTAGTTTGATCGAAGTAATGAGTATCACCTTTAAAAAAAGGTAAAAAAGGCGACCAGTTAAGGGCACGCCATTAACAAAAATTATTTATTGCAAACCCATGTAGAATCCTATGAAAGATTAATCATTGCAAACCCATGTAGAATCCTAGGCAAAATTAACCATTGCAAACCCATGTAGAATCGTACCCATTGCAAACCTATGTGGAATCCTATGAAAAATTAACCATTGCAAACCCATGTAGAATCCTATGAAAAATTAACCATTGCAAACCCATGTAGAATTGTATTAAAAATTATCCATTGCAAACTTATGTAGAATCCTACATTGCAAACCCATGTACAATAGAATTGTATGAAAAATTATCGATTATAAACCCATGTACAATCGTAACAAAAGTAATGAAATAAAAAAAAATTGCGACAAGTGAAAGTAGAAACTTGTACCAGTGGAAAATTAAAGTTGCAGACATATATATAGTCGTATAATGAATCAGTAAAAATTTAAATTTGCAAATGTAGAATCGTACCATAAAAAAACTTATCTTTTAAAAAAAAAGATAAACAAGATGCCAAGTCCATTAATATAAAATAAAAAGAAATAAAAAAATTGTAGTTAAAAAAACTGGGCGCGCTGCTAAATAATATTCTAATGATATTAAAATTAAATTGTTATTTTTAAACTCATTGCAGTTAAAATATGTTTTGTGTTTAAATTAATTAATGTTACTTTAAGGTGCTAAATAATATTCTAATGATATTAAAATTAAATTGTTATTTTTAAACTCATTGCAGTTAAAACATGTTTTGTGTTTAAATTAATTAATGTTACTTTAAGGTGCATTGTAATTTTGAAACTTAGCAGCGCGCCCAGTTTTTTTAACTACCATTTTTTTATTTCTTTTTATTTTATATTAATGGACTTGGCATCTTGTTTATCTTTTTTTTTTAAAAGATAAGTTTTTTTATGGTACGATTCTACATTTGCAAATTTAAATTTTTACTGATTTATTATACGACTATATATATGTCTGCAACTTTAATTTTCCACTGGTACAAGTTTCTACTTTCACTTGTCGCAATTTTTTTTTTATTTCATTACTTTTGTTACGATTGTACATGGGTTTATAATCGATAATTTTTCATACAATTCTATTGTACATGGGTTTGCAATGTAGGATTCTACATAAGTTTGCAATGGATAATTTTTAATACAATTCTACATGGGTTTGCAATGGTTAATTTTTCATAGGATTCTACATGGGTTTGCAATGGTTAATTTTTCATAGGATTCCACATAGGTTTGCAATGGATACGATTCTACATGGGTTTGCAATGGTTAATTTTGCCTAGGATTCTACATGGGTTTGCAATGATTAATTTTTCATAGGATTCTACATGGGTTTGCAATAGGATAGGATTCTACATAAGTTTGCAATAAATAATTTTTGTTAATGGCGTGCCCTTAACTGGTCGCCTTTTTTTACCTTTTTTTAAAGGTGAGTTTTTAGAGATTATATCATTCATTTTTGTATATGATAAGCATCTTTACATAAATAAGCAAAGAACCCGCCACCACCCCCGTCATATTTCAAAATACGATGGTCCTCTTTGCTTATTATAGATAAAAATAATTATCTTGTATTTTAAGTAAAAAATATTTTTTTGCACTTCACGAATAATGCAGAATGTAAAGCGTTGTCATGAAATTGCTAATATATTACGAAATCTTTTTTTATATAGGACTGATTGAAATACAATATTAAATGATTAAATAGTAATAGTCATAAACTTGATATTATAAAAATCTATTTAGGAAGAATTTTATAACTACTTTATTTTATATCGAATTTATAAGTATTATTTATTACCTATTTTTTGTAAAAATATTATATAAACATTTTTAGCACCTCTAGGCCACTGTCTCTTTTTTACTTCTGCATCATCTATTTCGATCCAAATATTAGATAGTCCTTCTCTACATATGCTTACATAATGACCTTCATCGGTGCACGAACTATCATAAAGTATAGCACTCATCGTCTTGTACAATTGTCCCGCTATTAATACTTTAGTTGTTGGAACAGCACATAAATTAAATTTGTTTTCTGCTTTTATTAATTTACCATCTTGTGCTAAAAATAGTATTAAACGAATAACAATTATTTCTCTTGTTAATGTTACTTCATTTTTTAATATTTGATCAGTTCCAGTACAATATTCACATGATTCGTTGTGTAAGTGAAACCAATGTGAAAATGTAGAATTTAATAATTCATTAAGATTACAACTTTTTTTCTTTAAATTATCAAGGAAAATTGAAATAGCAATATTATTTTCAACAATAGTTTTTGTATTACCACATGTTTTGCATCGCTTGGTAGAAGTTACTTGATGTTGTATCAAATTTGTAATGCAATCATATTTTTCGCAAAGTGCCGTAAGAAAATCGTACGCGTTTTGTCTTACCATACTCGAAAAATATTCTCCTAAACATTGCCGTATTGCATATGTATTTAGATTACGCATTCCATTTTCATATCGATGCATTAATATACGTAAAACGTCTGTTTTATTGCAATTAATCAACTGCTGCCTAATAATATTTAAATGTAATAAACATTGCAATACTGTATTTGCATAACATGAAATCTTGTCTGTATTCTGAAAACCACGTATGATCCAAGCAGTGCTTTGAATTCTTTTATTTGAAACCGTATGTTGAATTTTTCGATCTGAATTTGATTTTTGAACAGAAGTAACTATTTTTGGTAACGCCCATGGAACATCTTTTACTTTACGACAACGTTCTTTTGACACAGCAATCATTTCTGCTTTCGGATTGTATATCTGTTTTAAACGATTATATTCAATAATAACTTTTTTGTTAGCTATTACTGCTGAAGGATCAAAGTTTATTAAATGCACTCCTTCTAGAGATGTTACTCGCGACAAGGCAACATAAATTTGACCACAACTAAATACAGAGTTGCCAATATCCATAACAACACTTTGCAAACTTAATCCTTGGCTTTTATGAATAGTGATGCCATAACTTAAAGATAATGGAAATTGTTTCCGAATCACATACGCTCTATCCAATACCTGAAATTTAGCCGTTACTCTTTCAATTTCATATTCTAAACCTGATGGTAAAAGAAGTTTAATCTTTTCTACGTCATCAGTAGATGTTTCTCGTACAATTGAAATTACTTTAGCAATTGTACCGTTTACAAGACCCAAACTGGCATCGATGTTACGCCGAATCATAACTTTTGCTCCAATTTTAATTGTAATTTGTTTTGAAAGTCTAGCTGTTCGAGAACTATCATCATCGTTATTTGACAATACTTTTAATACTTTCTTTTTTACATATGATGTACAATCAATCGTATCTTCAGCAATTAATAATATTTCTTTGGAAGTAATGCGACTTAACATTGCATTATTAAGGACATCACACATATTACAAGTAGGAAATAAACAAACAGTGTCCGATGATAAACTGTTAATAAAATCACATAATTCATTTAATCTAGATTCGAAAGAATCAGCTTTGAAAGATATTTTTCTACTCTCTAGAATTTTACAATCAGATTTTGTCACTAAACCAATACGAATTCGCGACAATAATTCACGGTATGAATTATCTCCTTGCTGACGCATATTGATTATTAATTCATTATATTCAAATAATGTAATCCATAAATTAACAGCATTTAAAGAACCAAGATAATTAGCAATTTTTTGATCGGATAAATGTGTAAAGATAAGATCTTCGCGTACAGGAGGCAATTGAAGCAAGTCTCCGAATAAAAGAATATGCTTTCGACCAAACCAACCATCATCGCAATCACTAGTATCAAATATCTCAGACAATCGAAGATGAATATATATTAAAGTCAAATTAGATATCATTGACACTTCATCAATTACGAAAAGAATAACATCTTTAAGATCTGTTCGTAAAACTTTTAATACACAATCAGATAATTGTTTATACTTATGAGTTTGACCATGTTCAACGGGTAATTGAAGCAATCTATGAACTGTCAAACCATCTATATTAAATGCTGCTATACCAGTAGGTGCTGTTACAGCAGTATCTTTGTTGAGATTTTGTTTTATCCAGCATTTAATAGTCTTGATTAAGAAACTTTTTCCAGTACCACCTTCTTCGCTAACATATAATCGTAATATTGATTTATCGGACTCTACAGCATTGGTAACTTTATCAAATACTCGTTTTTGATCCGTATTTAATTTTACTATCATGTCAGATACATCAATTTCTTGAATTGCTCTATCACCAAGATCTTTAAAATCTTGCATTGCTTCACCAGCCTCTAAATTTTGAATACCTATTGCATTTTCAGGATCATCCTGAGACTGCTCTTTTTGCAAATCGTCATCTAAGCATTGCTGAACTAACTGTTTTGCAGTTTCAAATGCTTTTTGCAATTCTTCTAATTTTTCATGATATTGCAATGCTTCTTTAAGATGCAGTTTTACTTTGTGAAACGATTCGGTATAAGTATCGCATTCATTTTTAAGATCCTCTAATTTTTGCCATGGTTTAAACATAAGCAATAACGCAAAGAAATAATTTTCCGGCTGTGTATTAACATTATATCTAAAATGATTAATAAGATATCCGCGCTGTCGCCGTTTAAGATAACAACCATTACCTATTTTATAATATTCAATAAACTTATTTTTCGGTTTGATCTTTGAGATATCGTACCACTGTGCAAATTCATAAAGAGACGTATTTTCTAATTCGTTTGGTCTATGTGGATAATGATCATCTGTCAAAGATTGATAAAATATATCTGTAGATTCAGGATCAAGAGCTTCAATTTCTTTACGACTTTTTAATTTTCTATATCGTATTTGATTAACATCTAACCATCTGATGGTTGTATTTCGATCAGTTCCATACAAAGGAATACCTAACAATGTATCAGCAGCTTCGAGAGCTCCACATTCTCTATTATTCGTAAATCGCAAAGCAATATTCCAAAGATGACTCGCTAATGATTTGTTTTTGTTATCCTTACTATCAAGAATATTCTCAGATAATTCACTTTTTCCCGCTTTATTCATATATTTAGTAACATACCAGGTTAGCAGCGATGATTTTTCACCAATAAATTGTATATCCATATTACCTTCCCATGCAGTAAGAAGAACAGGATTATAGTCATTTATATTACCTTCATTATCCGTTCGAGGAAGATCGTAAAGTCTACTTTTATGTTTCAATTGTTTTCTACCGGCTATCGAAGTTGCCACATCCCTGATATTCAAAGTTTCAGTAACGGGACGAGGAAATCCAAAACGACATCGACGAATAACTTTACGTCCTACTTTTTTAGAACGAAGACAATAATCATTAAAATATCTTGGGAAATATTCATTTTTCGATTATCATACCTTAATACTTTTATGCACAGAATAATGAGACGAATCAGTTGGTGTAAAGAAAACACATAGTTACCTTTAAAAAAAATATGAAAATTGCAATAAGCAGTTAAATAATTTTTCTTTAAGACAACTATGTGTTTTCTTTACACCAACTGATTCGTCTCATTATTCTGTGCATAAAAGTATTAAGGTATGATAATCGAAAAATGAATATTTCCCAAGATACAAATGATTTTTATTACTCATATATAGTGAAAAATATTTCTTACTGATTTCTGTATTACAAGCAAGCATGGCAATTTTGAAGTGTTCATTATTATAAAATAACTGATTTATAAAAGCACAAAATAAATTTTACCTATTTTTATATTTTTATTATTTAAATTAATTTTTGAGTAAATTGAAAAAATTACAATTATATCTGCGATTATATACGCATAATAATTATAATAAAATAAAATATGAAAATAACATTACGCGATTTTATTCGGATAACTTTATAATACGTAAAAATATATTGTGACATAATTAATTTTATTGATTTTTAAGGCAATAATAGCATTCGAAAGTGGACTTGTTCCACCAAATATTCTTGTAACCATCATTGTTCATTTTAATATGTTTACATGTGGCATAAATTCTTTTAGCATTTTTTGCTTTTTGAAGATATAGCACAGACACCGCTATATATTAAAAATATATGCATACTCATACATAGGCATTTATATAAGATTTATATAATTACAACTAATATGTAACATGACATTGTAGAGAATGTAACCTACATACATGTTACATGCAAAGAGGTTACATGTCATCAAATCTGACATCTGATCTGACATATATCTAACATCATGGATCATGGAGCGACATACTATCGCCGTCTGTTGTAAAACGTGCGAGATGGACATTTCCAATACATGCATCTATTCATGTGTTGTGTACGTGTGATATATGTGTGCGCATGTGTTGTATACGTGTGAATACGTGTAGCACGATACTACTATGTTTGCGTGGTCGATGATGACGGGGACGTTTCTTAAAAGAAATTTTTCATATTTCGACTTTGCAATTATATATCTCTGCTTACAAATCACGTAGAGCAGAAATAAAGACACTTTTATTATATAATTCAAACTCAATCTATCGATTAAGTCTAGTATAAACTCGATTGCTTCAGCCGTTATTGAGAATTCGAAATATTATAAAGACTCAAATGTCCGACTCGCGTTAAGATACACGGTGTCTCGGCTACGCCCTTAACTGGTCGCGAGACACTACCGTGTCTCTTGATATAAAGAGCTTGAAACCAACACAAAAATATAGTTAATTGTTTCACATTATATCATGTCACATTTTAAGATCAGAAATTAAGTTTCTATATAGAAAGTTGTGTTTTAGGTAGGATACATATTAATGTGTGGAAATATTTATTGTTACTCAGTTACTTTTTAATTAATTTTTTAATTTTCTAATAATTGTCATTATTATAATTTGTAGCACTTGATAAGGGCCGAAACCCATGGCCGAAACGTCGTGAATATTAAATAAAGATCATTAAATAGCCAGAGTTAGTTGATTAAATTACTACCATATTTTATAAAAATATGAATTTTTGTCCTATTAGTAATTCAGAACTAATGTTCTTATCACTCCTATCGTTCTTACATGCGTACATTCATATATTTAATGCGTTCACAGTTGTAGATTCAGAAACGATATTTTTTTTCTTCAGGATTCTGTAAATGCGGTAGTACAATAAAATGTATTTTAGAAGATAAGGATCCATCCACTAACTGCGTGAAATTAAATTGCACGTATACAAAAGGAAAAGAAAATTGTGGAAAAAAATATCTAAGAAATCCAACAAGGAAAATTATCGCGAAAGAATTGCAAAATAAATCAACTTATGTGTATCGTGCAGAAAAGGCACATATGCTAATGGAAGAGGGAGACCCAGAGCCTCCGCATTTATATAGTTCTATGGTTCTACGTAAAACAAAATCAGAAGCGGCAATAACAGATTACGTAGATCCAGATGTTTTTAAAGCATTAGTGATTTTAAAATTTTCGTCATTACAGAATGTAATACATAATATTGGATTAGATCCTTTTTTTATTCATTACTGGAGTAATCATCAACTTAATGTTTACAAAAAATACGCCATTGAAAACAAAAACAATTTGTGTATATTTGTTGATGCAAGCGGTAGCATCGTTCAAAAATTATATAAGGCGGATGGATCAAAATCCAAACATATGTTTTTATATATTTGTGCTATCAATTGCAAAAGTGGACAATTTTCAATTTGCCAAATGATAAGTGAAAGTCACAATGTTAATTCGATACATTTTTTTGGCAGAATGGGTACGTTCTGGTGCACTGATACCCAAAGAAGTGGTATGCGATTCCTCAAAAGCACTTTTAATTGCAATTATTCGCGCTTTTACCAATTATACTAATATAGAAGATTACGCGGATTCATGTAAAAATTCCACTTTACCTAAATGCTATATTAGAATTGACGTCGCACATTTTATAAAATCATACTCTAACTTTTTTAAATCATTAAACAAAAGAGTAAAAACTTTTTATCTTCACGCACTTGGTCAATTAATACTTTGCAGAAATGTCTCAAATGCTAAAGAAATAATTAAGTATATTTTTACAATAGCATTATCCGAAACCGATGGCAATTTGGAAAATGGCAATTCTACGCAATGTGATGAAGCAAGAATTAAACTAATAAACTTAATGACAACTAATGGATTGGAATTAGAAAACTTTGAAACCGATAATAGTACTAAAGACGAAATTGAAAGCAAACCGAATGAAATAGAGAATTTTATTAATCCGTTTGAAAATTCATGGACCACGTGGGGTAAAAAAATTTTAAGTGATGTTAAATCATTAATTATTTTAAATGAAGGCAATAGAATTAACCCACATTATTATCCTCAATTAGTCGAACGTCTAATGATTGATATTAGATCACTATCTCTTTGGACAAATGTTTATACAGATAAATTTGGTTACGGTCGCATACCTGCTTCTAGTGCACCAGTCGAAAGTGAATTCAATAAATTAAAATCTTTATTGTTAAAAGATTGTCCACTGTTGCGTGTTGATTCCTTCGTTCAGAAGCATGTACATTTTTTACATGGAACTACAAAACTTATTGAAGCACAAAATAATGACAATATTGTATCTGTTCATACAAAAAACATACTTGATGTACCTATAACTTCCACGCCTCTTAAAGAACCTGACTTTAAGGTATTGTCTGATTCTAATAATTCATGTCCAGTATGTCAAAATAATGATCAACCAACAGGTGCACATACTTGTTTTTTATGTAAAAAACATGTACATGCATTGCCTGAATGCTCTGTACCGTTTGGAGATGCTGAAGAAGGTTACGGCCAACCTCGCATATGCATAATGTGTAAAAATATAGATAATCCTAAAAAAATCATAAAAATGAAAAGGTCAGGCCATGTTCAAAAGAAGGTACTCAAAAATTTAAACGATCTAATAATAAATTATCACGAAAAGTAACTGATATGTTATTCAAGGTGCCAGTTCAAAGTGAACATACGTAAAGTGTATATTATCTAAATTTAGTAATAATATATTACCATGAAAAGTAACTGTGATATTTTATTCAAGGTGCAAGTTCACATTGAATATACATACATATAAGTAAAACTGATTACAATTTGATTCTAGAAAATAAGTGCGATATGTTATTCTTAGTGCACAAAATATAATAGTCGTTTATAGAGATTTGATTTGAAATTCATACTAGCCCGTACAATGAAAAATAATTGCTCGTAATGCCAGAGTACCAATTTGTTAATGACTCAGAAAAATAACATGGCGGCCTGCTCTCAAAAAACTATGATGTTTCTCGATGTCCATTTAGAAATAATGTCAAAGCTCTTACAGAATAATTACTACAACATTTGAAATACGAAAAGTATTACATTAGAAGAAGATTAGATTAGAATAAAAATTCAACGTATTTTTAAAAGCTCTACACACACAACGAAGTGAATATACAAAACTATATACAAATACCTTTTTCTTCTGTGTTTCTGAAGAAAATTGTAAGTCAAATGAAACCTTGCACTTTGAGAACCATGTCACTTACTTTTCAGAGTCAAATTGATATATTTTTTTTGTATATTTTAATGATATTTATTTCTCACTTGTATCTTGAATAATTAATATGTAATTTTTTATTGTATATTACGACAAATAATCAGTAAACTTTTTAAGCGTATAGCTTTATTGTAGTTGACCTGAGAACTGTACATTTATAAATTTTACTTAATATACACCCGTTTCGAGCAACAAGGCAAAGTTTTCTGATCAATAACTTACTCCCTGAAAATACGGTATAACACAAATCGGAAGTTGATACGAAAATTCGAAATTTTACTAAAGAAAGATTGGAGGTTTTTAATTTATACAATTTTCACAACTCTTATTTCAATTATTTATTCTACCCATCGAAAGTTTTTTGAGAGCAGGCCGCCATGTTATTTTTCTGAGTCATTAACAAATTGGTACTCTGGCATTACGAGCAATTATTTTTCATTGTACGGGCTAGTATGAATTTCAAATCAAATCTCTATAAACGACTATTATATTTTGTGCACTAAGAATAACATATCGCACTTATTTTCTAGAATCAAATTGTAATCAGTTTTACTTATATGTATGTATATTCAATGTGAACTTGCACCTTGAATAAAATATCACAGTTACTTTTCATGGTAATATATTATT